ACGCCCGGCCTTGAGAATATTTTAAAAGGTGTTTTATTACATTTCTGTGTGAGTGTGTGTGTGTGTGTGTGTGTGTGTGTGTGTGTGTGTGTGTGTGAATGCGTACCTGTGGATGTCAGAGGACAACTCATAGGATCTGTTCTTTCCTTCTACAATATGGGTCCTAGAGATGCACTTTTACCCATTGGGCATTCTTGCTGACTCAGAACATTTAAAAATTTTATATTTTTATTGAGGAGCATGGCATACAGACACATGTTCATGTGGGCGCTCGTGGAGGCCAGAAGAGGGCATCAGATCCTCTGGAGCTGGAGTTACTGGTAGCTGTGAGACACCTGATGTGGGTGCTGGGAACTGAACTCTAGTCCTCTGCAAGTGCAGCAAGTTCTCTGAACCACTGAGCCTTCGCTCCAGCCCCAGAACACGTTTTAAAATGTCAGAAAAAGGGAATGGAATAGCTCTTCTCCAGAAGATGAGTAAACAAAAATATTTTCGGGAGGAAAAACAAAAAAAGAATGGGAGAAAGTCAGGCAAAAAGGAGCTTTTGAGAATCTGGGGTGTATTTTTGAGGTGTGTGTGCATGTAAAGACTAATAACTTTAAACAACCATTGAGAGTGAATGATAGAACCAAGGAGCAGTTGATATTCTCTATTTGAAAAGGAAAGAAGATTCCAGACCACCCCACCCCCCCAGTGGCCCAGGATCAGGCACCCAGTGTTCCCTGGACTGCTGTCTAATGTCTTGATGTGGCTTGCAGGGGTGGGGACAGCAAGCTTTCAAAGATTCCAAATAACAGCAATCTCAGGGGTGACAGGCGCCCTCTCTCCCTCGTCTTGCCTCTTTGAAAGATGGCGTCACTGAGCCTAAGCCGTGAGTGGAATGACCTGCTCATGCTCATGCACAGATAATGATGAAACATGGGCCAGATTCTAGTCTCCCCTCAGACATGTGCACTTTGTAAGATTTCAACCCAACACTGTCAGAGGCAAAGTTTACATGTGAGAACTATGCCATTGAGTGACAAAAATAATAACAAAATAGATCTCACTTTTGTGTGTGTTTATGTATGTACAGTGCATGTGTGTACATGTAGAGGTGAGAGTTCAATGTCAGCTCTCATTCCCCACCCACTATCAACCTTGTTTTTTTTTTTTTTTAGGTACAGTCTATCATGGGCCTGGAGCTCACTAAGTAACATAGGCTGGCTGGACAGAAAGCCCTAGGAATCACCTGTCTTGGAGCGTGTCACCACCCCCTGCCTATTACAAGGGTTCTGGAGACTGAACCAGGTCCTCACTTTCCCAAGTGAGCTTTCTCCTCAGAACGCTGTAAGGACACGTATGATCATTCACAGCTCTCCTCGGTTACATGCAGCAGCAGGTTGAACCTGCCCGAGTCCTGAACCTGCCTGAGTCCTAGATGATACCACAGAGTGAAGAACTAAGAGGTATCCGGGTGCGTACAGTTAACTCTCGTGAGTCAGCTCTGACTTATCACTATACACTCCCCACAGACCTAAGGACACTATGGGGCCAAGAAAAGATGTGTGTAAGAACCAAGGCTCTTCAGCCATTTACCTACCTTAGGCATTTTATTATAGCAATAGAAAACTGCTTAAAAGCAGAAGGTGAAAAATTGTTATGATCCGGCAGCAAGCTGAGTCTGAGAAACGCCTTTTGTCCATCATAGCATTCAAAGGCAAAGTTAACATACAATATATAAGGAGTATTATTAGATGTCTTTATATCAGCATCCAAGATAATTTTATAATAGAAAAGTAAGATTTTTGACCTAGGAGCTTTTCTAAAACAACATAGTTTAGTATGTATTAATTATATGCCTGTCTGTAGCACCTCTGTGCTAATAATAATAAAGCGAAGTGAGAATCGGCCTACCCAGGATACCACAGCCCACAGAAGGACAGCTCAAAATCATAGCCACACATGAGCTGGAAAGAGGGACGCTCACTGGTGTCAGTAATCACACATAGCCAGCAAGGATACATATGTAAAAAGCTGGGCATCATGGGATATACCTGTCATCCCAACTCTGGAGAGCTCGAGACAGGAGGATCCCCGGGGCTCACTGGTCAGTCAGCCTAACTTACTTGCTATATTCCATGCCAATGGGAAATCCTGTCTCAAAAAAGAGAGATAGTCCTCCCCAGGAATAACACCCAAGGTTGTTGTCCTCTAGCCTACACACACACATACACACACAATACTGAAATAAACAAAACAGTAGCCTTAGGAAGGTTAAAAAAAATTAACAACACAATGAGTTAAATTTGTGATATTTAATATTTTAGAATACTTAAGTCTAACTGCATTGAATTTTTTTTTCATGTGACTTATTTTGTAATCTTGTCTGCTGTTTAAGGTCGATATGGAAAGTGGTCAAGAGCAACTGGCCATATTTGCTCCAGATTTAAATAATTTAAGGAAGGTTAATGAGCTTTATAATCAGTGTTTAAATGCTTAGGGAAGACTGGATTCCCAGTCCTGTTCTGAGACAGGGCATAGTTGATACTGTAGGGCCCTCTGGCACCCTCTGATGCTCAGGACCTCCTCACACACATCACCTCTTCAGTCTTTACCTAGGGTTTCCTGTGAGAGCCACAGGAAAAGTGATCCTGCCTAGGTGGCCAAATGGCTAGACCCCCCAGGAGCAGACCCAAGCCACTGTCTTGGTGGGGTTAGTGAATGCTCAGTCTGTTGGAGATAACTCAAGCTAGCTCCATTCCATATCCCAGAGGCCCGGAGTGTCATGAGCCTTGGCTGCCCACAGAGGTCAGCTTCCTCTCCTAGCCTCATCTCCCCATTCTACACTGGGGACTCCTGGAATCACCTCCCAATATCACCTCATCTTAGCAGCCCAAACCATGAGCTGAGCTGAATCATCTGAGCATTCAGCAAAGCATGCATTTGCAAGCCCCTCACTGTGCACAGCACTCCCCTGGACACCTAGTGGTCTGCTGGAGAGATTGGGAGTGCCACAGACAGAAGCAAAGTGGGGGACCCACTGCAGGGGGGGGGTTCCTGTCTCTGGAAGCATCTCTTCCCTGTCTTCTGCAAACTCCTTCTCTCTGGGTATATAGACCTCTCTCAGGGACTCTCAGCTGTCAGTAGGAATCTATGCATCTGCACCTCCACACCCAACACACACAGGGCTGCGATTTCAGAAACCAGGGGAGGTAGCCCATACCTGTAACCCTGTAATTAGAAGGCAGAGACAGAAAAGCAAGCGGTCAAGGTCATCCTTGGCTACACATAGGGTTTGGGGCCAGCCTGGGCCACTTGAGATACTGTCTTAAAAAAAAAAAAAAAAGCTGGTGCTGGGCCCAGTGACCAAGGAGGAGAAGACATGAGTGGGAACAGAAAAATATCCATTTACTCATCTTTAAGACACTGAGACTAGCTGGGTGGTGGTGGCACATGCCTTTAATCCCAGCACTCGGGAGGCAGGGCCAGGCGGATCTCTGAGTTCGAGGCTAGCTTGGGCTACCAAGTGAGTTCCAGGAAAGGCGCAAAACTACACAGAGAAACCCTGTTTCGAAAAACCAAAAAAAAAAAAAAAAAAAAAAAAAAGACACTGAGACTTATGGGTCTTGAATCTGATACCAGGTCCCTAGCAGCCATGGAGGCTCCTGGTTATGGCAGCCGTGGGCAGTCCCTCCATCAAAGTAAATGATGACCTGGCTCGCCATGCCTGCAAGCATGCAGCAGGGAGGTAGACTGTAGATTCAGACTCACAATCTCTACTGTAAGTGTGGACAGGAAATGATTTCTTGAAATTCAGTCTCTTATCTTTAAAACAGGAAATACATCATTTCTTCAGAGGGCAGCCCTTTCAATAATCTAAGAACAGAGCGCTCACTCCTTATAGTTTTGGTTGTGAGCCTGGCCTTTAACGGCTGATCCATCTTTCCAGCCCCTGCCAGGCATTTCCTATGTGCTCTCCTGGGACTGTCCCACACTGTCCCGCACAGGTATAGTTATGATTCCTTTGTAGAGATAATAGACCTTCCTGATCACTCGGTCAATTAGCAGTCATGTGCTCCACCAGGATAGACCTGGCTCCTACGTTATACAGACCATATAGAAAGGAACCAGCAATGGCCAGCACAGACTAGGCACTCAACAAATGCCATCCTACTTTTCTTCTGGCTTCACTGTTGTGTCCTGGGCTGTCTCATGGGGGAAGGGCCACAGAGAGGGACAGTGACAAGGGCAGGTGCTTGGCAAACCAGCTCTTCATGGAGCCAAAGAAGACAAAGGCTTGATGCCAAGTTCTTAATAAAGAGCCTACAGGGAAAATGGATTTCAGCTCTTCTATTAATACCCAGCCTCCTAAGAGTCTTCCAACTCATAATTTCGTTCCCTGGAACTGCCACAAAATCCCCCAAATGCCGTTCAAAAGGCCAGAGGCAGGACTATGAAACAACTTTGAGTTGCAGGCAAAACTCAGTCACCTCTAAAACATGCTTATCGAAGTAACAAGACAAGTGTTGGACTGGGAGTCTGTTCTCCAACCAGGGAATCTGCGTTTTCCTAGGCTGGGTGAGCCTCGGTGACATCACCAACCTTTTCTGCCTCTTTTTCCATTTCACACAGAAATCACAATCCTTCTCTCCACATTTTAAAAGTTGCCAAGGAAATCACATGTGAGGGATGTATGTGCAGACCATTCACAAATGACAAAGCCCTCCACACTCGTGGGAGCCTGTGAGTACTGATGGTGTATCAGTTGCTGGGGGAATTCTCGAAGCGGACACGCTCTTTGCAAGCACAGCCTCGAGCAGCAGGCTGGAGCGTGGAGAGGGAGAGGGTAGAGAAAAAAGAGCTGTCAGGGCTCCTTTGCAGAGCTGGCAGTTAACCTTCAATCAATTTTACAAGGCCAGGAAATAGCCATATTTTTAATTAAGTGTCCACAGCAGGATCAGCCACATAAAATTTAATGGCAGGGAAGACACCGACTTGAAAGAGCCGTAGCCTCTTACCTCTCCTTCCAGGAAAGAGATTTTTTCTAAAAGCTGCAATATTAGGAGCTGCTTCTGCTGCACTTTTTTCTTTAATGATTCAATCTGGGAAGAGACAAGAGGAAAATTGTCAGACGAAAATGCAGAACTGTACGGCTGCAAGGTAATCAGTGGGCAGAAATACTTCTGCTTGTTTACATAGAACCTGTGTGCAGATTGCTTTTCGATTTAATTCTTTTTTTTTTTCTTTTTGAGACAGGATGGGTCTCATGTATCTCAGGCTGGTCTCCAGTTGCTCTATAGCTGGACATGACCTTGAACCTCTGATCTTCCTGCCTCCACACCCTGGGAGCTGGGATTTCAGGTGTGTACCACCAGATCTGTTTTATGGGGTGCTGGGGATTGAACTTGGGGCTTTGTGCATGTCAGGTAAGCAATTCTACCCACTGAGCTACATCCCAGCCCTTCCATCTGGATTCTCAGACCCAGGGATGTCCTGTTAGGATTGTTTAGGCAACCTCTCCACACCAACTGTGCTGTTTGGATAACATCCACTTACAGTTCAGGAAGTCTGCTTCAGGACAGACACAAACAAGTCAACAGAGGTGATTAATTATCTAGCTTGGACTGATAGAGCATCTGCATTTCAAACATTTGGTTACTCCTCCTAATACATTTGTATCTGACCAACCAGGAGTCCAAAGTTTGTTTGGGGGTAAGGATCACTAAAATTATTCATGGAATTCAGAGGAAACGAAGGACTCAGTAGGCAGGAACAGACCTGGGCTGCACTGTCACTTCTGTGATATTTGTTAAACCTGTAACATCATTAACACACCCTGGACTCCTCTTGGCTTTTCACTCAGGCATCTTGTTTCCTGGGACAGAGCAGAGGATCTCCAAAGGCAAGAACCGGGGTACTTTGTGCCAAGTCATGTCTTGAACAAAAGTGAGATCAGTACGCAGACTCAATCAATGGTATGCTACCTTTCCAACAAGCTCGTGTATTTGGGCATTTTCACATCCATTTATAAAAAGTCCTCAGTGCAAAGTGATAGAACTCCCATGCAAGGGAACCGAGTGCCACCTGGAAAAGCATATGCGAGATGATCGTTTGATCCAGAAATACAATCTTTAGGCATATATCCCAAAGACACATTGAGCCAATTAGAAGTAACTTGGACATGTGATTTTTGGTTTTAGAAAACACAAAATTAGTGGCTGGTTGAACAACATACACTATACCCTGCCAGTGAAGGTCTAAGAAACCTTCAAAAATAAGGATCTCTTACACACTGACATGAGAA